GTTTCTCCCCGTATGTGATTACGTTAAAGTTAAAATGGCAGACTCAAAATTAATTGCTGCTATATTTAGCTGAGTAAAATCCTGTACTCCGGTGATAATTCAACTAATATCGAGTGAAATTTCAACCTCTTACAAATAGAAGTTCGTGTAAAAATATACTGAGCTTATAGAAATAAAGATCAAGATAATGTCTCCCCTATTTTGGTCGCAGTCTCATTTCGATGTAAAGGTATGGTCTGACCTCGTTTTCGCAAATTAGTCATGTTTCAGGGCGACTTAGTTGGACGCACCTTGCCCAAAGTCCTCTGCTATAGTGTTATTATAATTCCCCAAACTCACTGATGATGCCGACTACGATGCCAGCAAAATATCTGAGAATATAGCAAGTCTACGGTCTAATGCTGGGAATCATAACTACTATAGCAGAGGACTTCGGACAAGGTGCATATAACCAAGTCGTCCTAACAACATGACCAAGTTGTGAAAATGAGGTCAGACCAGCTTGTATTTGCCATGTGACAGGCATCATGAGAAATTGAAAAAATCCTATAAAAAGATTAAACCAACGCCTACTCAGTAAAATGAATCGGCTTATTACTATCCGCTCTATATAAACCTACAACAAATGGAGAAGAATTATCTGAGCCAGTGATAATTCCGAATTAATGGAGCAATTTTGGAAAGAGGTTCTACATGCCTTAGCAATATGACTTTGTAACTAGTTGAAATAGACAAACTATAAAAAGGAAAATCCCCAGAGCTCAAACGGAGATTTATCAGGAAATATTCTTGGACTGGAATCACACAAAACAAATGATAAGAAATCCAGGTTGGTGTAAGATGACAAAATAGGGCATTTTGCATGAAGATGAAGGCATGAAGCACAATTATGTGTAATGAGAATACGGCCTCACGCCATAAATTTGTAAAAGTAAAAATTAGTTAATAAGCCATAGGAAAACGTAAGCTAGTAGTAAATGAACATTCAAGAGTAGAAATGATTCTGGCATATTTGCTTACTGGCAGAATTCCGGTAGATATTCGCAGCTCTTTCGATATCACTCTCCAGAGCAAACACGCCGCGGTAGGTGTTAGCTAAACTTGCAAGGTCACTGGTCAATTCATTTGCTGGACAGCGTTCTGAGCAGATGGACTGTGCCTGTTGCTGAGATTCCTGCTGCTGGCTTACTGCTATCTGCTGAGTAGGTAGCCGTGGATGCTGACTTTGCTGTTGCTGCTGCTTCTGTCTAGCCTGGTTTAATTGCAATTGCATTTGTTGCGCGGCCAAATGGAGTAGTTGATGTTGCTGCTGTTGCTGTTGCTGTTGCTTATACTGTTGAGATGTCTGATTCGTTTGCTGCTGTTGATGTAGTTGAGCAGTGGGTTGGGTCTGCTGATTTAGTTGTTGATGCTGAAGTTGCTGGCGGTTTTGTAAGTTGTTGGTTGAGCCACCCTCCTCCGCCACCACACGACATGCGGGTAAAAGACTGGCCGCCAGACGAGCAGCAAGCATAGAGGAAGAAGACAATGCCGATGACGGGGACACGGAAGCCGATCCCGATGTGACAGTTGGTCCAGTCAACTCTAAACTGGTGCTCCCTATTCCTGAGCCCACTGCCGGCCCCGAAGCGTTGGCTCCCGTAACCGTTGACTGACTGCCTGGAAGGCCAAGTCCCCCTGACAGTAAGCCGGACAGGCAGTTGGCTGTATTGGCAGGAGAAGGACCATTGGCACGAGCCAGAAGCAAATCCGAGGCAGGCAGACCAGAAATACTGTTTGTGTTTACTCCCCGTAGAAGGCTATTCAGCAAGTTGATGGTTGCTGCATTACTTGGGGGTCTGACTAGTTGATGAGGACACTAAGTATTGAAAAATTATTACGAGATAACTTAGTAAAACTTTAGTACTACACGTTTCATATGGAAATAGCAACAAAATTAAATAGTTATATGAATTTCTATTGCGGAGGAAAAGTTGGTTGGAAGGAATTCGTGGAATGGCTTCACGAAAAACTGAAGGAGTGCTGTGGAGTTAAGGCTGTTGAAACGTGTGAAGGAATCCTCGGCTTACCATCCTGCGACACTGATGAACCTGTACTAAGCTTTAGTCTGTAAAGCAACATACATCATCAGAGCAAGAATTCATACTTTGCGAAATAGAGCAATAACATAATAAATCGGGAGAAAAGGTGACCAGCTGAAACCCGACCATATTTCTAAAGTAAATAGTATTCGTCAGCATACTTCGTTTGCAGAGCAAAGATGCTTTCTATGAGGTACTAAGGGCTTGACTAACCCACTTCGCTCCATGACTAGTGTAACGATCTGTAAAAGTGTTATAGATCGATATGAAGACTTTCATTTCGTATGGAAGTACATGATGAAGAGATTCGTAGATCAATCTCACCAAAAGGCGTCGGCTGATTTGCGTTGTACTGCGGCCGTTTGGCCTTAATACAACTTTCAGGTTGGTGCAGTTCACGAGACATCCTCCAACGTTTCGGGCGAAGACGGGCTGAGCTTTCGTTCGTCATATGACGAACATCGTCAGAGCTGGGACTCATTCTTGCAAAGCCTCAAGTTAGCACTAAATCACTAAGATTAACCGACTTATTTCTAAATGATATATATACTTATTACGAGCAAAATTTAGGATATAGATGGATATAAAAAGGTTAGGTGAATTCACGTATATTCGAGTGTCTGTGTGTGCATGTATGTTAGCGTCTGTACGCGAAACCGGTCATGACTCAGGAAAAAGCTTAACGCCAGTCCCAAGTTATCAAGGCTTAGTGGCCCAAGAAAAAAAAGGAAAAAGGAAGACCGAGATTACGTTAGTCCGTAGGCAAACGGGTTAAAGTGATGATAAGAAAGTAAGGTTACGAAAGCACCAGCCCGAACCCGTTAGTCTGGGTTATTAAGGGTAAATGGCCCAAGGAGAAGCTTGACTTGCGCAGCTCCGCACGTGCTTTGCCTGATGCCAAAAGGAAATTTTGAGCCGAATGCTTTCACACTTGTACGTAGCAATTAGAACGAGTAGGTTGGATCTCTCTCTTTTTTCATTCGACCCACTTAAAATATAGGTATTGAAATCAGTGCAACTTCCGAATATTTTGCTTCTGCGCTTAACGGAAGGGATAATTTAAAAATAATCTTAAGAAAGTAGGGTTTCGAGACTACCAGTAAATCATTGTAATGAGATGTATTCACCCTATTTCGT